CCTAACCGCAAGGCAGCGGGTGAGGCGAAGTGGAGGCCCATTTACTTGGATCAATTACTCCTCCACCGCTTTTTATCGACAGAAACGCCAAATTCCAGGCGAACCCCCAACCTGGAGGACCAGGAGACTGAACTTCGTCTGACCTCTACCCATTGACCTTCCAGGCATGATTAAATCTTTGGCTCGGTAAAAGCCATCCTGTGTAGCTCGTTGGGTCACAGAGGTGCACAGGCCATCACACCACGTCAAGGTGTAGTCTCGTAGTGATGGAACAAAGGATACTCCTGCTTAACGTGCAGTATAGTGAACCAGATGAATACACACTATAAACACAACGATCTTATATTCAGACAAAGGGTACTAACAGCCCACACTTCAATGGTGGGTACCAAACAGGGAGAAATACTGTGATAAGTCGGAAACAACTAGTGTGGCGCCTTTCGCCTTGAGAGCCAGAAACAGCCACTCAAATTGTCCGATCATCATTGTTCTACAGACTAAAGGGAAGATAGAAATTGATCAAGTAACATTGAAACAAAGACAGAAAATATCTACTCACGCAGTTTTATCGCCAAACTCCTTGATTAACTCGGACAGACTGATCTCGGCCAACTGTCCTAGAGTTTCAATACCAAATCGATTCACGATAGCCGTTCCCAATTTGCCTCCCAAGTTACGACTGGAATGCCGAAAATAAAGTTAAGTAAAACAACCAAATTATCGAATATCATTGTTATACACTATAGGCAGTGAATCTACCTATACTAGTCTGCTTTTTATTGCGTGTATAAAAATGCAACATAAATCGAGCAAAACTATTGACCATTCAGTTCAACTCACATTTTTGTGACCGGGGTAGCTCGAAGCAATACCATAGCTGTATCTGGTGGAACAAGAGTTTGTTTATTCGGTTTGTTCAAACTGCAGGCCAATTTGGCTAAAGTCTGGAAAATAGAAATGCAGTTAACTGAACAACCAGACTCGTGAATAGGTACGAAAGTTGATCACAGTCGTTTATCTACGCCGCTTCCACAGAACAGTATCGTATCGCAAATGTTGTAAAAATCAAAGTGAACTAAAATTGAAAACCAATGGAAACAAAAAACAAGTGCAGACTTCAGTGAATAAAGCATTTGCTAAATAGAGCGGCAAATTTCAACTCGACCCATTCTAACAATATGTGAATATCATTTCGGTCCAAAGGATCGCTATCAGTCTGGAGGCGATACAATGTGGACATTGTCTGAAAGTGTGAAGTTGTAAATATTTAGTCTGCCTGGTGGATGAGACTTTTATCGTGTTGAAAGATAAATCTTGAAACAAGCATGCACCAGCGTGAGGACAGTGCGATTGGTGCATCCCGTTACGGTGCAGCGGAACACTCAACAGCTCTCGATCAATGAAGCTCAATAGGAAAACATCAATATTTAGTAGATTTAGGGTGCTGCATTATCGGCATTGGAATATCAAGTAACCAAATGATTTTTGGATGCTGAAAGCGAGTATGCGTGACGTCAAACCGAAGAGGCTGTATCTTGAAAGGGCGTGATGATTTTTTTCATTCTACTTCCTTTTATTGAATATACAAAGATACAATTTTCAAGAAAGGGGAAGCGGCCAACCAGAGGGCTGCCATTTAACACACAATGAGGAAAGTCAGGCGTTGTGGTGGGATTCAAACACACATCTCCGGGTCATCACCGCCCAAATAGTTTTACAGGATGAATTGAACCAAAAGATTTTATCATTCTGATGTTACAGCGATAAGTTCAGTCTCTTGGTCAAGGTTGGGGCGTCGACTAGAATCGGCGTCTTGGCCGGTAAGAAATAATGGAGGAGTAATCGATCCCAGTAGGTGAGCCTCCATCTCACTTTACCTACTGCATGGTGGTTATGCTCTTGTCAGAACTGAATGCTTTAGTTGAGAACCGTAATAGTTCTCCTGCTTAGTTGATGGACACTCCAGTAGTACCCATCCCTCAAACTCTAATGTATACACAAAATAAAAATAATTTCATACTGCATCGGTCGTCGGGCAGGATAATCAGGACCGCGCTGCCTACTGTATCGAGTGCGGGGGGAGTGATAAATCGGCTACTGCTCAAATATCCCAACCTTCGTTTAACTTTGTCTTTTGTACCCAACCCTCTGCCTTTACACCTTATTCCAACCAGTAACATCCCCTCAGACAACTTGTTCGTCACTCGGCAAGGATAGTTTCCAAGCAGCGCGATAAGTTGCTTACCACTGAATCTGGGGACATTCAAAGAGAGGACGCTGATGAAGGGGGGTCTGCAAGCGTATCTGGCGCGTACAATGGATTCTTTGGGGATTGATGTTTCCTGTGTATCGGAGACGCGAATCTGTGATCTTAGTACTATAAGCCACCAGATTCGTCTTCGTGGTACTTCCTACAAATCTCGCGAAATGTCTCCATACAACCAAGCGTCCCGAATAGCCTCCGATGAGGAAGCCCTACTCATTGACTTCTCGTGACGGAGGTGTTTTCCCATCAAAGTGAGAGGACGAAAAGCAGATATTCGGGGCTAAAACCGGTGAACCACGGACACTTCGCTTAGAGGAGCCGACTGAAAATATTGATTACAAATCAACCAAGATACGTACGAACCACACACTCACACTGTGGTTGGGGCAGTGGTCACCAGTTCGATTGAGCAAGTTGGATGTTTGATCCCCCCCCCCCATCCAAAGGGCGTATGATCCAATGGACTGGACACCGGCCCCAAGTGGATTGCGATTTTCGCACACCCTGCTACCTTGCGGGTCAGGCTTGGGTAGCCAAAGGCTCCGGTTGTGGATTCCTCAAGAAAATTCACCTACCTTGACCTGGGCAACGTGGGAGCGTACATGCAAATCATGGAACGTTTTTCTTTTTCATTAAGATTATTGTACCATGATTTGTTTGGCACACAGTCTGGATTCAAACGCGTGTGAATATATATACCTCGGGTGACCACGAAGGCCGTTCAGTAGACCAGCGTGACATAGGCATTGTGCTAAAAAACCCAGCTGAAGCGTCACAAATCGATTGGACCCACGTCAAAATCTCGCTTATGTGCGATGGGGCTCCAAGGGTCTATCATCGTCCAAAAGAGAAGCAACAACCTATGCACCGACCAACTGCAGTTGTGAAGCAAAAAACGACGAGTTTTATGATAAACTCACCGAACTCATTCGGTTAAGCCGAAGCTCCGATATGGTTGTTTTCGGAGATGATTTTAACGAGCAAGTTGTAAAACTGAGCGAATTGGAAGCTTACCTAGGAGGTCGTTGTTTTCTACCCTGCCAACGAACAGATAACGGCGATCGACTTCTTCAGTTCTGCGCAGATCACAATCTGTTACCACCATCGAATACAAACTTCCAATACACCTCTCAAAGGACGGAACGTGGCTCTCCAGAAAGAACTGGTATGCTAACTCAAATCGACCACATAACAGTGAGCTGCCGTCGGCGTGGCTCAGTACAAAACTGCAAGTAGTATTGGCCCACCTTCACTGAATCTGATCACGAATTAGTTTTGATGCAGTTCATTCCCCGACTCAGTGGTCGCAGATAGCCACACCAAACTCGATTGCTAGGTCATCGTTTATCTGACCCAGCCGTTTGTGCTAGCTTAGAATCAGAACCAGGGCAAGAGCTAAACGCGTTGCAGTGTGGTGGTGTAGATATATATTTCGCACACGCCTGACGCCAGACTGTGTGTCAACCAAATCACGGTAGAACAATCTTTATAAAAAACAAAAATTTTCCATGTGTAGATGAACAATGTTCACTTCAGTTCAGTTTTTACAACCATTAACCATGCACTTTCGTGCGCGGGTTTTGGTTGCTGTCTTTGGTTGCCCATTTGGATAAAATAGCGAAGTGAAGATGGGAATGTCGAAGCAAATTCAAGCGGAAGATGGGGAATACATATAGAGTGTGTTAGGAAAGTAACGAGTGGATGCACTGTGGACGCCACTGTTTGTGACACCCAGCCATATCACTCAGTGTAGCTAACCATCAGTGACCATCATCACGAGGTCCCTAGCCAGGGAGCCTAACGGGGCCTATGTGACCTAGTGTCCTGGTTAGGGTTTCCATACCCTCATGCCAGGTCTTAGCTTGACCGCCCTTCGTTTTTTTCCAATCGCTACCAGC